AAAAAATTAAAATATCTACAGAGAAAATGAGCTAACTCAAAAACATGAAAAGCAATAAATCTAAATTCATAAATTCAGTTGAAAAAAACTGATCACAGATATACAGAATGATAGGGAATTAACTGCAAGCATAATAAGGCAAAAACATGATATGGTTATCTAAGCAGTAAATGAGACTATGAGATCATTTAAAACTGTAGTGTCTAAAATAACACAGGATATGCCAGTCACATCACATCATAAGTGTCATGAAAGCTTCACCATCATACTTTAAAGGGCTGCTAAAAACCTCAGAACAGGTGCAAGTAATATGCAAAGCAAGCACAAACGTAAGAACACAAAAGTAAGTTATAAGTGTAATAAAGAAATAAGAGACCATGGTTTGGGACAGGGGAAATGACAAAATAGCTATTCTCAAAACAATTACTAGAACAATAATTAGACAACATAGTGTTATACTTACAGAAAATAAACTGAGCTTAGAAGTTTTCAAACAGAGGCTAGATATTACTTATAAATAAAAATTTAAGGAATTGTATCATTGAACAAGTTGTTGTTGCTATTATGTGCCGTCAAGTTGTCTCCAACTCACAGCAACCTTATGTACAACAGAACAAAACACTGCCCAGTCCTATGCCAGCCTCACGAGCCCTACTATACCCGAACCCATTGCTGCAGCCACCATGTCAATCCATCTTGTTGAGGGCCTTCTCCTCTTTCACTGACCCTCCTCTTTACCAAGCATGACATCCTTCTCCAAAGAATGGTCCCTTCCAACAACATGACCAAAGTAGGTGAGACAAAGTCTGGCCATTCTCGCTTCCAAGGACCATTCTAGCTGCACTTCTTCCAGGACAGATCTGTTAGTTCTTTTTGCAGTTCACAGTACCTTTAGCATTCTTCGCCAACACCAACTCAGAAGCATCAACTCCTCTTCAGTCTTCCTTATTCATTGTCCAGCTTTCACATGCATATGAGGTGACTGAAAAAGCCATGGCTTGCGTTAGGCACATCTTAGTCTCCAAGGAGATATCTTTGCTCTTCAGCACTTGAAAGACATCTTTTACAATAGATTTGTCCAATGCAATACATCTTTTGATGTCTTGACTGTGCGTCCATTGGCATTGATTATAGAACCAAATAATACAAAGTCTTTGACAACTTCAATCTTTTCACCATCTATGATGATACTGTTTATTGGTCCAGTTGTGAGGATTTTTTCTTAATATTGAGGTGCAATCCATACTACAGACTATAGTCTTTAATATTCACCAGTAAGTGCTCCAAGTCATCATCACTTTCAGTAAGCAAAACTGTGTTGTGTGCCTATCTCAGGTTGTTACTGAGCCTTCCTCCAATCCTAATGCTGCATTCTTCTTCATATAGTCTAGCTTCTCAGATTATTTGCTCAGCATACAGACTGAATAGGTATGGTGAAAGGATACAACCCTGACACACTCCCTTCCCGATTTTAACCATGCGTATCCCCTTGTTCTGTACAAACAGCCTCTTGGTCTATGTACAGTTTCTTCATGAGTACAACTAAGTGTTCTGGAATTCCTATTCTCAATGTTATTCACAATTTGTTATGATCCACACAACTGAATGCCTTTGCATAGTCAATAAAACACAAATAAACATCTTTCTGGTATTCTTTGCTTTGAACAAGTGAATGGACCAAATAACTTCTAATGCAATTTCCAATCATTTAAATATACAGCACTCATATGGCTAGACAGAGTACATCCCAATGAGATAAGTGAAACAGTGACAAGTGAGACTGTGCTGAATTATGAAAAACTTATGATAAATAACATATATTATACTTGTTGTTGTTGTTGTTATATGCCATTTGAACCACCAGTCTTCTGGTTAGATGTGACCAAATACTGAGACTCTTTACTAAACAATTATACTAAAGTATACACTTCAAAAGTTTTCATATAAAGTAATCCACACGTTGGGAAACTAATTTTTTCAATATTACTTCCATTACAAAACATTTTTGGGACTATTTCAGACTGTTTTTCAGATTTAGAGTTGAACCACACAAAAAAACAATCTTATAATGTCCCTAGGTAGTTGAGTTAAACTGCTTAGCTGCTAACCAGGAAATTGAAGGTTCAAGTCCACCAAGAAGCACCTCAAAAGAAAGATAGTGATCAACTTCTGAAAAATCAGCCATTCAATACCCTATGGAGCACAATTCTAGTCTGATACACATGGGGTCATCATGAGTCAGAAATGACTCAACAGCAACTGATGGCTTTGGTTGTAATATACATAGTTTGATCTAACATATCAGATTTAGTCTCCAATGGTGTTTTTGTGTTTTAAAATATTAAGTCCATCCTCAAATGATGATTAGTCACTAACTGTGATAGAATATACAACAAAATGTGTCAGAAAGTTCTGAAAGAAATAATGATTATTTTTAAAAAACATTCAGAAAAAAAATTTTGTTATACTAGTATTCTTAGAATAAGCAAATAAATAACCAAAGTGCTTCTACTTCTACACACAAAAAAATATATATTATTTTAAAGTATAAAATTATATCCCACTAAAAAAAAATGAATACCTGCCTGTGTTGGCCACAAGTATATTCAATTATCAAATTTGTTAATCGGTACTCTTTAACTTTCTCTCTTATCAAGGCTATTTATAAGGTTTAAGATTACTTTACATTTATTAATATATTAATAGTCATCAGATGAAATAATATTTTAATTAAAAGGACCTGTTGTTGTTGCATGCCATTGAGTCATTTTGACTCACAGTGACTAAAGAGAACTGTCCCATAGGGATTTCTAGGCTATAATCTCTACAGAAGCAGATTACCTGATTGTCCTCCCAGAGTTGAAGGGTTGGTTCGAACCACCAACCTTTCAGTTAGTCACTGAGCACTTAACAATTGTGCCAACAGGGCTCCTCTCATAAACCCAAACCAAACCTACTGCTATCGATTCCCACTCATTGCAATCCTTTTAAGACAGGTAACAACCCCATACAGTTTTCAAGGCTGTAATCTTTACATAAGTAGACTACCTCATCTTTTTCCCATGAAGCAGCTGGTGGGCTCAAACTGCTAACCTTGGTTTGCAGCCAAATGTTTTAACCATGCCACCAGGGCTCATTAGTTCCTTTCTTAGAAGGAAGAGGGACTAGCCATGTATCTGTTCTCAGATACCAAGAGACATATCAATCTAAAATGAATTAAACAGTTGAAAATACGCTTTTTTCTTCTTCATGCCAAAAGTAGATTTTGAATCTTAAACTGTTGACATCATTAATTATTTCAACATTTTTGAAGTACGTTTTCAATGTCTGATCTCTATTACTAAGAAGATAAATTTCTATCATATTAAGAGAAACACGGATATGAATCAATTTTAACTAAGTATGAAATGAATCTTTTTAGAACTACTGGGATGGTCAATTTTGCATCAAAAATATTTTTAATATTTTTCATTTGCAACATATACTATACATTTTTCATTTCTTAATCCTTATGTCTACTGAGTTGTATTTTTCAAATTTAAAAAACAAACCTTTACACACTTCTCCTGAATATCATTTCTCTGAGAAGCACATTTAATTAGCAGCTTTTCACCTTCCATTCCAAATTCTTCATTTCTCAGTTTACTAAGGTGGTGATCTGAAATCCAGTCCATGAACATAGTTAAAAGCTCATAAACTTGTGCATTAAGTGGTACCTATAAAATCAAAATTAAATCAAGCATTTATTTCAGTTCATAACCTCATGAAACTTCCAAGGCAACTCTCAAATTTTATCAATGATTTTGGATCAATTTACCTAAGCATTTAACTAAACCATGTATTTAAGAACAGACCATCTCCCAACCAAAGAAATCCAAATAAAACAGCTTCAATTAATGCAAAACATGACAAATTCTGGCTGAGAGAAGAGTGAAAACTCATCACAATAAGGAAATTGAAAGAACTGCACCTTATTATCAAGATAAAGAGTTTTCATAAAGGTTATTAATCCAAGTTTAATGACATAGAAAAGTAAAAATGGCCTTAACTCAAGAATATGAACCACCCATATGATTCTAAAAGATTTTCACAGATTGAAAGTTTTCAAAACCTAAAGTAACAACCCAAAAGGTTGTTACTTTTTCTTTACATTGTAACATTCTAGAAATCAGATACGATTGTTTTTTTCCTCTAGAAATCTTTTTCACTGAGAGTCTACCAAAATGGTGGGAAAAAAATAAGAACAAAATGTCTTAAATCGTTAACAAACTTTATTAGACTGATTTTAGTATTCCTTCAAAATATATTTTCAGCCAATTGAGTTCAACATTTATCATACGTCTGAAGCAGAAAACTGTGCTATATTTAATTCATTTTTTAAAATCTGAGAAGAGAAATATTAGAGCAATTAATAAAAAAAAGCATTAAGCAGACTGTAATCCACAAAAACACAATCAGATGACTGAAAATACAAAGATAAATGGTAGAGTTAACACATTATTTTGAGTAAGAGTAATGTTTAAATTTTCCAGGTTTCTTCAATTAGTTCTTAAACTTTAATTGCCTTCAAATGAAAACGTCAATCATCTTAAGTATCTGAGTATGAAAACTCTACTTTCTCCAACTTACTATAACAAAGAGTTAGAGAATATTATAAAAATTATTAAAGGCCACCATCTGATACCATATCACACCTAATGGCGAAAAATGAAAAGGACTAAAAACATCTAATGTTGGCAATGTTATAGAGCAATTAGAACTTTCATATAATGGTTGTGGTTGTGGTTAGGGGGTGTCAAGTGGATTCCAACTCATAGTGACCCTGTGTATAACAGAACAAAACACTGCCCAGTACTGCTCCTCACCATATTTGCTATGTTTAAGCACATTATTGCAGCTACTGTGTCAATCCATCTCATTGAGGGTATTCCCTTTTTTCTCTGACCCTCCCTTTACCAAGCACGGTATCTTTTTCCAGGGATTGGTCCCTTCTAACAAAATGACTAAAGTACATGAGATGAAGTCTGGCTATTTTCGCTTCTAAGGAGTATTTGGGCTGCACTTCTTCAGTACAGACGTGTTAGTTCTTCTGGCAATCCATGGTATTTCCAGTATTCTTTACCAACACCACAGCTCAAAAGCATCAACTCTTGTTCAGTCTTTGTTATTCATTGTTCAGCTTTCACATGCATAAGAGGCAACTGACAATATGATGACTAGGGTTAGGCACACCTTAGACTTCAAAGTGTATCTATGCTCTGCACCACTTTAAAGAAGTTTTTTGCAGTAGATATGCCCAGTGCAATACAATGTCTGATTTCCTGACTGTTGTTTCCATAGGTGTTGATTGTGGATCCAAGTAAAACAAAGTCTCTGACAACTTCAATCTTTTCTCCATTTATCATGATGTTGCTTATTAGTCCAGTTGTGAGGATTTTCGTTTTCTTCATGTTGAGGTATAATCCATACTGCAGACTGCAGTCTTTGATCTTCATCAGTAAGTGCTTCAAGTCATCTTCACTTTCAAAAAGCAAGGTTGTGTCATCTGTATATCACAGGTTGTTAATGATTCTTCCTCTACTCCTGCTGCCCTGTTCTTCTTCATATAGTCCAGCTTCTTGAATTATTTGCTCAACATACAGATTGAATAAGGATGATGAAAGGATACAACTCTGGCGTACACCCTTCCTGATTTTAAATCATGCAGTATCCCCTTGTTTTGTTTGAATGACAGCCTCCTCGTCTATGGACAGGTTCCCCATGAGCACAATCAAGTATTCTGGAATTCCCATCCTTCACAATCTCATCCATAATTTGTTATGATCCAAACAGTCAAATGCCTTTGCATAGTCAATAAAACACAGGTAGACATCTTTCTAGTATTCTTTGCTTTCAGCCAAAATCCATCTGACATTAGCAATGATATCCCTCATTACACATCCTGTTCTGAATATAGTTTAAATTTCTCTTAAGTTCTGTCTCATTATACTGCTGCATCCATTTTGAATTATCTTCAGCAAAATTTTACTCGTGTGTGATATTAATGATAATGGTTGTAAGAGTATAAGATGGTACAAACATTTTGGAAAACTATTTGGCAGTTTCTTAAAAAGTTAAACATGTGAGGTACAGACAAAAAAGATGAAGTCTTTTGCACATACAGTACTGTACTGTCAATGATGGCAAACACTGATATACGGGTGGATAGAAGGGTAGACAGGCTGAACCATTAGGTATGTCTATGCAGTGGGTAGTATGCCCATAACCATGTTCAGGGTTGGCAGACAATTTTTCTACAAGTGTATTTTTATGTTCTGTAAGAATTTCCAGGAAGCTCCTAGAGTGGTAAGATGGCAGAATAGGGAGAAAGACTGCAAGATCCTTGTCAACAAAGAAAAGGGGAACCAATTAACACAGACACAGAAGATAATCCTGGACCCCTGAGCCTTGAAGGGAAGGATATAAAAAATGGACTAAACCCCAACTAGCAGAAGAATTTGCATGAGGCTGCTGAGGCTAAGAAGCCCCAAGGTTGACAAGGAAAAAGGCACAGTCCCAATGTTACTAAACCACACGGCAGGCCATTAACTTAAGTCCATTGTTAAGTCCCAAGCTCAGCAGAGCATAGCAGGCTGCTGAGCAATGACACCGCTACATGCAGGGTCCAAGTGTGCCATAGGCTTCTCAAAGCTTCTTCTTATATACAGGATGCACACCACATCCCAAAGGCAGCCACTTTGCTGCTTGTGGTAGATTTCACCATGAAACTGATTGCCAGTCTCATCATGGGGAATAACTACCACCAGCTGCCTAGCCACTCAACCAGGCCCAGCCAAGTTGACACACAAACATAACCATCACAATTCCACCCCTTGTCAACTTGGCACCTGAACAGATCTTCAACGGGTCGTATCTGTACAGGTCTCCTCCACTGGGTGGCTCCAGTCCCCTAGTTCCTGAATGGTGACCTCACTCACCCCCTTGGCCTGGCTGGCCCATTACTCACCCTCTTGGGCATGGCAGTGCCGCCCCCTCACTCTTGGGCAACAGCTATGGCTCTATCCCACTGGCTTACACGAACAAGCAGCCCCACACTCCAGACCCAAGTTGGTGAAGGCCTGGCTCTTTGAAACCTAGGAGGCTGTGGTGGTTCCACCCCTAAAGGCCATGGTCCTAACCTTTCAGGCTGGGCAGCTCTGCTTCCATTTCCTTGGTCTCTCTGCTTGTGCCGATTAACACCTGAGGGCAACCTACTCCGTCAGAAATCTTTCTGCCCAAAAACACTTGGCTTTCTTGCTCCATGGGCCAGCCAACCTGCTACTCCATTTTATGCCAGTCTTCTCTACCAATTAACGTCCAAAGGCAACCCACTCTGCCAGGAAGCCATCTACCCAATAGCACCTGGCTTTCTCCTCCTTGGGCTGGTAAGGCTGTCGCTGTCTCATGCCGGTACCCTTGGCTCTGCTCCTGCTGTCTCTCATGCCGGTCTCTGGGCTCTGCTCCTGCCATCTCTCATGCCGGTCTCCTGTTCTGCTCCTGCCATCTGTCATGCCATATACCAGGGTCTCTCTGCCAGGGTCTTGGGTCAAGGATGCACTCCACTCCTGTTTCCACATTTTAGGTGTCTATCAGAACAGCACCCCACTCTCTCAGTACCATATTCTGTTCTGGTTACCTAGTGCCACTCTGACAGGAAACATAACACCAAATGGGATGGCCTTAACAAACAGGAGTTTAGTCTCTCACAATTTGGAGAATTGAAGTCCAAGTTCAAAGTGCCAGGCTCTAGGGGCTGTGTGAAAGGCCCTCAACTTTGGAGTCCAGCTCTGCCTCCTGCTCCCGACCCACTAGAGCTACAGGCATTTCTTCACTCAGACAGCCACTGGCTGCTAAGGCTAAGAAGCTCCAAGGTTGACAAGGAAAAAGGCACAGTCCTGATGTTACTAAACCACACAGCAGGCCATTAACTTAAGTCCATTGTAAGTCCCAAGGTCGGCAGAGCATAGCAGGCTGCTGAGCAACAACACAGCTACATGCAGGGTCCAAGCATGCCATAGGCTAGAGACCATTCTCAAAGCTTCTCCTTATATACAGGAAGCACACCACATCCCAAAGGAAGCTATTCAGCTGCTTGTGGTAGATTACACCATGGAATTGATTGCCAGTCTCATCATGGGGAATAACTACCACCAGCTGCCCAGCCACACAACCAGGCCCAGCCAAGTTGACACACAAACATAACCATCAAAAAGATGAATTCACTCTATAAACTTTCACCCAGATCACAATAAAAATTTAAAAAAAAAAAATTAATTTAAATATGCATCTACCTATAACATAGTGCCTAAAGCACTTGACTGTTAAACAGAAGGCTAGCAGTTCAAACTCACCAGCCACTACTCAGAAGGAAGGTTGGGCAATCTACTTCTGTAGTGATCAGCAGCAGCAGCAACAGCACACTGCCATCAAATCAGACCCTAATCATAGTGACACCTCCTTGGGTTTCCGAGGTGATATCACTATGGAAGTAGAGTCCCCAACCTTCCTTCTGAGGAGTGGCTGGTGGGTTTGAACAGCCAGCCTTCTGGTTAGCAGTCAAATGCCTTACGTACTATGCCAGCATACCGTCTCGGAAACCCAAGGAGGAGTCACTATGAGTCAGGTCCAACTCAACGGCACATAAAAACAGCAATGACCTAGTAATTCCAGTCCTCAGTAGATATCCGAGAATGAAAACATATATATATATATATATATATATATAAAAGACTTACATACACATATTCTAAGCAGCTTTATTCATAACAGACAAAAACTAAAAATAGTTCAGGTGTCTATCAGCAGAATAGATTAACTATGATACAGTCATATAATGGAATACTACTAAGCAACACAAAGGAATAAATTAATGTTACTCTCAAAATCATTATGCCGAGCAAAAGAAATCTTACACCAACAAATACATATTACACAATGCCATTAACTAAAGTTCTAAATGCAGCAAAACTAATCTAGTGATTTAAAAAACAAACAAACAAACAAACACCAGATCAAGATTGCTTCCAGCAGAAAAGAGTGACCAGGGAAGGGCACAAGGGAACTTTCTGGGTGATTCAAGTGTTCTATACCTTGACAGAATGTAGGTTACGTAAGTGTAGTCAATTCTCAAAACTGATCAAACTTAAGGATCTGTACATTGTTTTATTTTATGTAATATGTACCACTATTTTAAAAAAATTTTTAGAAAAAAGAAAATAGAGTCAATTCGGGATGGACTGCACTCTTGATAGAAAAGTAACATTCAATGCCTGTGAAGTCTCAAAGCACACTTAATAATAAATGTTTACTAACTTTAAGTTACTGCTATTTTTTTCATTGTTACTTAAATATCCTGGTATTGCAAATAAATTTATATCTGAAATGCTCTATAAATATTTCTCTGTTAAAAAAAATTGTAATGGTGAATCTTTTCAAAATTACAGGAGAAAAAATAAAGCTTAAAGAACAGAGAAAATTTTCTGGATTTTGAATTAAGAAAATTTCAACCATACCTTACAAGTTTTTGAAATTGGTATTTTTTCTTGTTTTAAACTTTTCATTTCATGAGCAGAGTGGGAATTTCCTTTCAATCTCTGTATTGTCATAAATTCATACTTCCTCTGCAAAAGAACATATCTATGAATTAAAGGACAATTATTTTAAAAGTGAGCAAATTCAAAAAGCAACCATTACGAATTCTCTTGCATCTCAAGAAAATGGCAAGTAACTTACCTGTAAATTATCTAAACGAGCTTGAACTCTTTTAGCCTGAATTTCCATCTTCCTGTTTTCTTCACTTACTTCATTTAACTAATGAAATAAAAAGTTATAAATTTTAATATTAATCTTAAAATCATACTCTGGGTTTCTAAAACAACCTAGTAACTTACCTGGCCTGCATAACCAAGCAACGTAACAAAATAAACAGAAGAACTGTTGACAACTGAAGAAAACCTTAGCTAAAATCACCACTTGTCCCTAAAACATTACTAGTGTCTAAGAATGCTTACTTCATGCTATGAAAAATTTGTAAGACCCCTGACATCTTAAAAGTATACCTTTCAGTGGGAAAACTTTTTCAAGTATACTTTTTATTGAACAGAAAAGTGCATAAGTAAGTATTTAGAAAAATGAATCTCACTGGAAAAAAGATAGTATCAGGATATTATGAAGAACTGTACTCCAACAAATTTGAAAATCTGGAAGAAACAGACAGATTTCTAGAAACATACTAGTTACATAACCTAACACAGACTGAGATGGAAAAGCTGAATAGACCCATAACAAAAGAAAAAATTGAACAGGTCATTAAAAAAATTACAAACAACAAAAGAAAACCTGGCCCCAATGGTTTCACCAGAGAATTCTACCAAACGTTCATTGAAGAACTGACACCAATACTACTCAAACTATTCCAAAACA